AACTTTAAGTACAGTTTACATGATTATTAGCAGTCATGGAGATTTTTTCACACCCTCATCACCAACTGGTAACTGTATAGTCATATGGCATATATCTAATTATAAATCAATTTGAGAACCTTTTCACATTTATTTGCTGTTTGTATTTCCTATTTTTAGTGCAAAAATTTTATTTCTCCTTTGTTTCCTTTCCCCCCGACTTTATAAAATCCAGAAGTTTTACTTAATCCACAATATTCTTTTTTATTTTTATTTATTTTTAAGATTTTATTTATTTATTTAACAGAGAGAGACACAGCGAGAGAAGGAACACAGCAGGGGGAGTGAGAGAGGGAGAAGCAGGCTTCCTGCAGAGCAGGGAGCCTAATGCGGGGCTCCATTCCAGGACCCTGGGATCATGACTTGAGTCGAAGGCAGACGCCCAACGACTGAGCCACCCAGGCACCCCTCACAATATTCTTTTTTTTTAAAAAAGATTTATTTATTTTAAAGAGAGAGAGTAGGAGGGGCAGAGGGAGAGGGAGAGAGAATCTCAAAATAACTGTACTGAGCATGGAGCCTGACACGGGGCTCCATTTCATGACCACGAGATCACAACCTGAGCCAAAACCAAGAGTCAGACGCTTAAGTGACTGGGCCACCCAGGTGCCCCACAGTATTCTTTTTTTTTAATCATCTGTAATTAATCATGTAAAATGTGAGAAAAAAAACCACTAATTTAAAATCTCAGCCCTCCATGCTCACAGGGGAGTCTGCTTGAGATTCTCTCCCTCTCCCTCTGCCCTTGCCTCCCCCACTGTATGAGCACACACGCTCACACACGCTCTCTCTCAAATAAATAAATCTAAAATCTGAGCCCTTTCCTCCACGGTTAGAGCAAATTAGGATAAGTCTACAGCATTTACTTACTTTAGCTGGTTCTGATACTGATACTGATACATACTTTTTTATTTGAGAATCAATGCCTAAAGTCTTGATTAATTCTACAATGTTTGACTCATCAGTGATAAGTGTCCCAAGAGTCACAAGAAGTCTAAAAGTGGCTTCTAGGTCTTGTACAGTGTCCAACACTGTGCTAATTACTGACAAGCATTGAGCTTTCCTTTCAATGTTATGATCTTTATAAAAATAAATATAATAGGGTCAACGTAGTCTGTCGTTAAGAGCAATGTGAACGTTCTTATGGCTCCCTGATGTGGAGTTTTGTTGTTGTTGTTTAACTTAGTTGTTTCTTATGGTTCTTACTGATGTTTTATAAAAATTTCCCCACTGTCCTATAGGACTTTCTGTCTCTTTAGAACATGCAGCTATTATTTTCAAATGTATTAATTTCTCTCTAGCTCAGCACCACTAGAGGTTGAACTGCAGTCCACTAAACTCTCAGGATCCCACACATTCATCCATTTCCCTCCCTCCCGCCTCCCTTCATCCTTCCCAGTCTGTAGTTTCTCCTTCCTTCTCTCTCCCCTTTTACTTTCCAATCTCCTATTAGTTTCTAAGCAAAATACCGTGTCTTTATTTTTCTTTTAAGGAAAATTCTTGACCATCAATCAGAGAAGGAAACTTCCTTGTCTGATCCAAATAAATTCATAGGTTTTATTTGCGGGATTAAAGAATTTTTAAAATTGAGAGATAAATATTAGCTAGGGAGGTTCAACAATGTCCTTTTTCTTTTCTACTCGAGATGACGTCAAATAATAACAAGGCAATTTCCCAGTGGACTACATGGTCACTTGAGTCCATCCCTGCTCTAAAATTCTAGAAGCGTTCTAACTACTTCAGAATCTCAATTCCGAATTATTCCCCTATTCCAATACCATACCAATTTTTCTAAATATATTTTTGGTTTTATTACCGTCCATCTGAAAAACTTTAGTGATTTTCTTATCTAACAAATCCTGTCTACTTATCTAGGCATTCAGAGCCTCACATTATGGATAAGATGCCTACATTTCAAGACTCAGGCCTCACTGCTCCCCTATTAGGCAACTGTTGTGACAGAACTGGATTCGAGTGACAGCTCGATGCTGTCCTTCCCATGTCAGTGTCTTCTCCGTTTAGATGGCTTTCTCTTAAAAATAACCCAGATAAGGAAAGGGAGATGCTACATGAAGAGTGAACCAGAAACACAGAGTTCTTGTTTCAGCCCCCTCTCTAATTCTACTTATGGATGCATGCTTTTTCTTTCCTCTTAAGGGTCAGCTAAAACTACACAGGTTGGTAGAGTTTACATTAATCTGTCATGTGACCTATTTGAACCTCTACAGGTGCAAGGTGAATAGGGGGCCCAAAGTGTTTCTTTAGAAAGTCCTTAATCGGGGCGCCTGGGTGGCTCAGTTGGTTAAGCAACTGCCTTCGGCTCAGGTCATGATCCTGGTGTCCTGGGATCGAGTCCTGCATCGGGCTCCCTGCTTGGCAGGGAGTCTGCTTCTCCCTCTGACCCTCCTCCCTCTCATGCTCTCTGTCTCTCATTCTCTCTCTCTCAAATAAATAAATAAAATCTTAAAAAAAAAAAAAAAGAAAGTCCTTAATCTGCATAAATGTTAGATTGTCACTAAAATGGAAAAAACTCCTCTCCCTGCTGGGCCCTTACTTTCTTACAAGTTTCACCACTGTAGCTCCTGGGCAACCTGGACTATCCACTGGCCCTGTATGTTGTTGACTCCTCCCTTGCACATTTCCGACTGAATTCCACAGTGAGATCTGAAACCAAGGGCATCTGGATGTGATGTGTGCCCCACTCCACCAAGAAGAAACACACCCTGATCCTTCTGGACACTGAGGGGCTGGGGGATGTGAAAAAGGTAAGGCAGGGAGTTGAGAACCCTTCCTTGCTCTTGCCTATTAATTTACCACCTCAATTCAAATTCTGTGCCATATTCCCACAAATAGCAAGTGCAAATTATGGATAATGAGGTTAGATTCTCTTACCTTGAATTTTTTCCTTGAGAGCACAAATATTTTGGTATTTTGAGGCAAAATATTCATCTTATTTTTAACACCAGGGTTAATGACACAATTTAATAAGCACTTATTAAGCAGCTAAATCCAGGGCTCTCTGCTAAGTACTAGAGACACTGCAGTGAAGAAAGTAAAGACCCAGAGGCTAGCTGGGAAGATATCAAGTACTTAGTACAACCAGTACAGGGTGCCATGGAGGAAACCCTGTTTTAGGTAAGGATTAGATCTAAACTTTCCTGGTGAAATAACATGTAAACTATCTAAATTGTAACTCATCAGGTCAATGGGACTACCAATTAAAGTGTATAGATTTGTGACATTGAATATAGTAGTCTTGAAAATAGGGTTTAAACAAAGTAATCTATTTATATAAACCCCAGAAAAGCTTTGGCTATTCCAGGAACATTCATAATGATTTTAGTCTAAGTTTCTGGACTTTAGAGATTAATTCTTCACTGACTTCTAAAAAGCATGATCTTGACCAGTAGAAAATATTGCAAACAGGATACTTGTAGGTTTGTTGCCTTTATAGTGTTAGGTGCGATCAGTAGTTTCTCCTTACTTTATATGAGTCTGAGTCTACATTGTTGCAGCAGTAGATTGTTTGATTCCAATACTGCCCCCCCGCCCAGAAAAATAAAGGAGAAATTTAGAAATTCTGAATTTAAAAAATTTTTAATATTTTAAAACTTAAGAAGTTTTAAAGTCCTCAATATAAAATAAAGTATAAAATAAAAACAGAAGAGAAACTAAAACAATACCTATTCAGCCTCATGAATTCATCTCACCATGTTTGAATTTTAACAAGTTTATTCCTTCTTTGAATGTACCAGCAACTTTTCACACTAAACAACAACAACAAACCCTACCAACTTGTTACTTATTTTACAGGGCCCCTCAATTTAATTCCCAATGAATTAGATCCACACTATCCCCTCCCTTTGCCCCCCCAAAATGAAGAGGGACTCTTAATGAGAAAAATACTGTATTTTGGCCCAAACTTGTTTCTTTTTATCTAATTGCTTTTGTTTAAAGGACCAAAACATATTATATTATTAATAACTGATGGCAACAGAACAGCTCAATAAATTTAGAACATGTGGTGTGATTTAGGTAGTGTGCAATTCTGTTTTCCTGGCCTTCAGTGCCACTCACATATTGTCCTGAATCTCCTTCCCAGCCTTGTTAGACAAATGTGTAACACATTTACACATTGCTTCAGACAAATGGAATAATTAGATCTTTGTATGACTGTGCTTTTCAACTCTGACTTGGCTTGTGTTGGTCCTTCTGCCTGCATGATCTTTTCATTTCCACAAGTCCAAGTCCATAGTTCCATCATTTCTTTAAAACCCAGCTATTTTTAAATTTTTTGAAAAGATTTTATTTATTTATTTGAGAGAAAGAGCATGAGCAGGGGGAGGGGCAGAGGGAGATGAAGAAACATACTCCCTGCTAAGTGTGGAGCCCAACATAGGGCTCCATCCCAGGACCCTGAGATCATGACCTGAGCCGAAGGCAGACACTTAACCGACTGAGCCACCCAGGTGCTCCAACCCAGCTATTTTTTTTTTTATCTACTGCCATCATTTCAAAGTCAGAAGTAATGTTTTGCTCAGAATTCCCAGGACACTTTTTTTTTTTTTCATTTTTGCATTTATCCCCTTCTTCTTTTATATTTTAGCTTTCGGTTCTACTCCTGAGATCATTAACTTGGTTGCTGTTGTATGTTTACTTATTGGTCAGCCAACCCAGAAAGCCAACTTTTTGAGGGCAGGGACTATCATATGGATCTTTGCATCCACCCAACCAAATGCACTGCCTGGCATTTAGAAGAAACTCAACAAATAGCTGTTGAATTTAACTGAATAACATTTATGTTTTTAATGTTGACCACGACACATAAAATTTGCTATAGGAATAATTTCCTGTTTATTGGTGCCCACCTACTATGTTCCAGTCACGTGTTATGGAATGGAAATGTTAACAAGTACATGAAGAGTGGACTCTTTAGCCTTTTGCTCTAAGGTGCTTTCTAGGTAAACCCTAAGAATGACTCATGGATCTTTGCCCTGACTGTGCTTCTGAGCAGCACCTTAATCTACAACAGCTTGGGCACCATCAACCACCAGGCCCTGGAGCAGCTGCCAGATCCTTCCAGGGACCAAGCCACCAAGTTTCATTGAGTTTACAGGAATGGTAACTGAGATGTCATCTTTCCTGCGACTTAACTGTCATGGTTGAGGAGAAGGGGACATGGGACATAAGTTAATGTTTATAAAATTTGTTTTTTAAATACGACGAGCTGAAAATTGTGGTGTAAATACTTTCTCCTTCCTTAGCTAAATTCTCAGCTATGTGACTGAGCAAACACAGCTAAAAGGGCAAAATCCTCCTCAACCTCTGAGGAAGAAAAGGACTCCACCGAGTTTGTGAGCTTCTTTCCAGACTTTGGACTGTTCGGGATTTCACCCTAGAGTTGAAGATAGATGAAGCCTCAATCACCGAAGATGAGTACCTGGAGGTTGCCTTGAAGCTGATTCCAGAGCATGTTCTGGGTGGTGGATATTTCAACATGTGTTAGAATATCTTCCTTTCTAAGACTGAATAGTATTTTTTTTGCTTGCATATACCATATTTAAATGACCTAATTTAAAAAATATATTTCATGTTTCTATGAGTATTTTACTCATGGCCAGAGTTACAAATTTCAGAGAAAAGATATTTACACAATAAATGTCCAGGAGAAAAAAAAAATGTCCATCTAGTAAGACTTCCAGATTCACATTGATCTTTCTCATGATTTCACTTTCTTCTTTCTCATAGTCTTGTACATTGTTACCATTTTAATATCAATTTACTACATGTAAATTTTACATGCAGTTTATTTTTAATTTATTTTAGCCAGGTGAATAACTGATGGCACTTTGAAGTAATACATATTTTTGTTTCATCATTCATGTATTCATTGTTTCAAAGAACTTTTATTTTTTTTATTTTGTTTAAAGATTTTATTTATTTATTTATGAGAGAGAGAGAGAGAGAAACAGCATGAGAGGGGAGAGGGTCAGAGGGAGAAGCAGGCTCCCCGCTGAGCTGGGAGCCTGATGTGGGACTCAATCCCAGGACTCCGGGATCATGACCTGAGCCGAAGGCAGTCGCTTAACCAACTGAGCCACCCAGGCGCCCTCAAAGAACTTTTATTGAACATCTGACATACCCCCCAAAATCAAAATTCTGTGAAGCATTGTCAAGTCAGATACAGTTTGATATAGACAGTGCTAAGGTCTCCAATTACCTTTAAGTTAACCTTACCGTAGGGATGTTTCTGCTAAAAGAACTCCAAACATATTTATTTAGTGTCATTTTTTTTTTACTCTGAATTTTAAGTTTTTTTCTTACCTTGGTATTATTTGTCCTCCTCCTGATATTTTCATAAGCAATATCTTACTCTTCTTTGGGCATTACTTTATTTTAGGGTCCATATTTCATATCTAATATGGGGCCAGTCAAATCACAAAAGGAATTCTCACCATTTTTTTTTTTTTTACTCATTAGTCATTTAATAAAGATTTAATGAATACTTCAACCACTGAATTCCATAACAGTGTTAAGGAACCAACCATAAGTTGCTTCAGTTGGGATTGATGCCTCTCCTTCTTCTCCCATATTTTCTTGGCTCTGCTCCATGCAGAAATGGATTTTCCTTGTCTGTGGTGATGGCCCAGGTTGATTTGAAATGATTGAGTTAAAGGAGATTTATAGGCACAGGAGCTGCAATGATGCAAAAATGCCTGGAAATGAAAGTCCTGACCCCCTTACCTAAAGCCACCTTTCAGTGATCATTTTTTTTCCACTTTGCAGGCACAAATCCCAGAATCCAGAACTCCAACATGTCCAGAGAGTGTATCAGGCATTTCTTTCCAAAATGGAAGTGCTTCATCTTTGGCTTACAAATGACAGAAATCTCTTATTCCATCTTGAGAAGGTGCCAGAAGACAAGCTGGACAGTACTTCCAGGAGCAATCAAAGAAATTCTGTACCTATATTTTCAATCATACAAAGACCAAGACCCTAAAAGAGGGAATCATTGTCACTGAGAGCTGTGAATCACCTTTGTCCCAAAGCACGTCTCTGTGTCAGTGTGTGGTGGAGCTTTGATGATACCCTGGATTTGGCGGTAATTTTATTTACATCTGTGTGTAACTGTGGAAGCAGATATTCATGCCATGAAAAGATATCCATATGTGTTTATTCATTAAAGTCTCCCTATGTGAGAGTCTGCTGAGACCTAATATATCTCAGGAACCTCATCCACTAATCATAAAAAGGCAAGATGGGGTTAAAGAGAGGACATCTGTACATTGAGAAATTCCATGGGATAACTTCTTGTCTTTAAGGAGATAGCAGATATTTTGCAAATTTACATGAGTCAGGTCATAAGTAGAAGTTACGAGTTCCTGCAAGTCCACTGAGAAACAGAATTTTGTGTAATCTTATGTGCAGGGCAGGCTTCATGGGCATGTGATGTAAGCAGTCCTGTAGTGCCCTGTGTGGAGATGGGCCCATACTTGCTTTAAGAGTCTCTATCCCTGTTTTGAATTTTCAATCATTTTCTTCTTTTTTTTTTTTTTAAAGATTTTATTTATTTATTTGACAGAGAGAGACACAGCAAAAGAGGGAACACAAGCAGGGGTAGTGGGAGAGGGAGAAGCAGGCTTCCCACTTAGCCGGGAGCCCGATCCCAGGACCCTGGGACCATGACCTGAACTGAAGGCAGACACTTAACGACTAAGCCACCCAGGTGCCCCCATTCTCAATCATTTTCAAGTAGGAGTTTACATTTTTGTTTTGTACCAGGCCACACAAATTATGTAGCTGGTCTTGTTTGTGTCCATTACTTCACCTATATAATCTATTCCTTTTCATTCTCATGAACAGGAAATCATTTTTCCAGTAATCCATGCACATACTGTGTAATTGTTAATTTAAATTGTCATAGGACAAAATGGAGAACAATAAAAGAAAGAACAGGAAAACAGTAATGCTGTTAGAAAGGAATAGATTCCCAAAAGGAGAAAAATAAAATTTCCTTGTAAATAAGGTGGGGTTTTTGTGATCTTAGAATGATGCTCCATAAAAACTATAAGCCAGTGATTGAGACCTTGGTATTTATCCTCAAATTTCCTGGCTTATTCAGGGCTGGGGACTCTGTTGAAAGCCTATGTGGATGCCATTAATCATGAAGCAGTTCCTTGCTTGGAGAACGCAGTGACAGCTCTAGCCCAGCGTGAGAACTCAGTGGCCGTGCAGAAGGCAGCTGACCACTACAGCAAGCAGATGGCCCAGCGAGTGAAGCTCCCCACAGACAAGCTCCAGGAGTTGCTGGATGTGCATGCAGACTGTGAGAGGGAAGCCACTGCAGTGTTCATGGAGCACTCCTTCAAGGATGACGAGCGGGAGTTCCAGAAAAAACTCATGGTAATTGTCTTAGCATTTAGCACTCCTGATTTCTCCCCTTCTGAAATGATGCTTAGAGCCTATATTTTTGATCAAATAGCTCATCTCTTTATCATGTTCAAAGGAGCCTGGATTGTTGTGAGACAGGGCTCTACAGGTTATAGATTACCTTTTTACTCTAACATAGGCATTTTTTAAAATTTTCTATTGCTGCATGAGAATTGCCATGAATTTACCAGTTTAAAACAGCAAACATGAATAAGCTTCACCAACCCATAGATCAGAAATCTGGCATGGGGTGGTCATGTGCTCTGCTCATGGTATCACAAGGCTAAAAACAAATGTCAGCCTGACCCAAGTTCTCATCTGCAGGCCTCTGAGGAGCCTCCAGTTCATTAAGGTTGTTGGCATATCCAGTCCCATGGATTGCAATTTACAGATTCAAGGAAAAAGGTTCTGTTCTTTTTTTTTTTTTTTAAGATTTTATTTATTTATTTGAGAGAGAGAGGGCACGAGTGAGCAAGCATGAGCTGGGTGAGGGGCACAGGGAGAGCAGCTCTCCACTGAGCAAGAAGCCCGATGTGGGGCTCGATCCTGGAACTCTGGGATCATGACCTGTGCCAAAGGTAGATGCCAAACCAAGTGAGCAACCCAGCCATCCCAAAGTTCTCTTCTTATATCTTCACACAGTTGAGTCCTTGGGGGAAAACTCATGAAAGATTCCAAACTCTGTTCAGAGTATTCTTCAGTCATCACTGGGTATTTGATTTTCTTTGTACACATTTCCATCCATTGCAACCCAAATCCTCTGAGGAAACACTACTTCCAGCCACAATTCAACTTCCTATTGTTCATTGTTGATGGTTGAGTCACTGTTACTCATACTACAGCAGAAGTAAAATTGGAGTTTAGGTCTTCCAACCCTATCATTTTACAGATGATAAGCCTGAATCCAAGAGAGTTAATGGGCTTTCCAAGTAACACAGAGAATCGATCAGAACTAGGACTAAAAGTCTATTGGGGTGCCTGGGTGGCTCAGTCAGTTGAGTGTCTGACTCTTGATTTGGGCTTAGGTGATGACCTCAGGGTTGCTGAATTGAGTTCCCCATCAGGCTCTGTGTTCAGCGAGGAGCCTGTTGGAGAATCTCTCTCTCCCTCTCCTTCTACCCCCTCCCCAACTTACATGTGTGTTCTCTCTCTCTCAAATAAATAAATTTTTTAAAAAAAGAACTAGGACTAAAAGTCTCTTGACTCCTGGTTCATTCCATGTTCCAGTCTATTCATAGGTGATCATGATGCTTTTTCTAAGAGGATGACATTGAACTTTCCCTCCTAACAGTTTCTTTCTATTGGATTTCTCCCTCATTTCCCTGGCAGGACACCATAGAGGAGATAAAGGAAGATTTCTTGCTGCAGAATGAAGATGATTCTGTCAAATATTCCCAGGCACAGCATAAACAACTTTCAGAGACCCTGATGAAAAGCATTTCAAGAGGAACTTTCTTTGTTCCTGGAGGATACCATCTTTACTTAGAAGCAAAGGAAAAGGTTGAATGGGACTATAACCTAGTGCCCAGGAAAGGGGTTAAGGTGGGGAATAAAGAGAGAGGGGTAGTCGTCAGAATCCTAGAGTCAAAGGGTGTTGCTTTTTCTGAAAATCTAAGATTATAGCACCATTTTAACGGAGAAAGCAGAGCATTGCCATATCTCCACCCTTTTAGTTTTTATCTGCAATTAGTTTTATATTGTTGAAGAGCCTAGAAATATTTCTTCCCAAGAAATGGTGTAGAATTGGGAATTCTGGATTAAAGAGAACAATTTTTCTTTGCTACATGACATGTCTCTGCTCCTTGTTTCTTCAGGCAAATGAAGTTCTCCAGCACTTCTTACAGAACCAGGTGGCAGTAGAAAACTCCATCCTGCAGGGAGACAATGTCCTCACCTATCAGGAGAAGGTCCTAGCAGGTACAGGTGCAGGGTTGAGCTCTTAGCAGAGTGGGTAGGTTCTTGCACTACTTTCAGACAGAGATGAGAGCAAAACCTTCCTGAAACAAAGAGCTTCCTCTCTTTCTGTGAAACAGCACTGCTAAATATAACAATCAGAGTTGTCTTTTTAAATCTGACAGACAAGGAGGGCCATCTCGATCACATTCTGAAATGTGCTCTTGGTAACCCACATAATTCAGAGGTTTCTCAGCTACCTTTTCAACATCAGTTTGGTATCTGTGCTGAGGAGGCTAGACTCAGACCTGACTTTTGTTTTCTTCTCTCTCTAAAACATTTGTGGAACAGCTGAGTGGGCTTTGAAGGAGGCAGCTGAAAAGAAACTGTAGCTACTAAGACAGAAATACAAGAAGCAACAGCAAAAACTGGAGGCTCAAGAGAGAAGCTTCAAGGAAAGCGTAGCCCAACTGAGAGAGAAGTTGGAGAGAGAAAGAGAAAACCTTCGGAGGGAACAGGAAAAAATGTTGAATCACAAGCTGAAGGTAAGTCTGCACAGAGCCTAGGCAGTGCCCAGTGGACAGTGCCATGGTTCCTCAGGAGGAGGAGGGCCAAAACTAATGAAAATCATGATCCCAGGAAGAATCATAAAGACATGATTCATTGAAACCTCAGATCTGTCTGGACTCTGCTGAGGCCCTTAAATCCACAAACTCCAGCACCTAGTATGAGAATTTGTAGTGTGCAATTAACATCCCTGAGGGTGCTGGGCTGCTGTTTGTGGTGACTGTTAGGGTGATCTCACTGGGCCCCAGTTAAATAGGGCCTTAGTCCACTAGTCCTTAGGATTCTTGGTTGAACCATCAAACAGACCTGAAAGAACTCCATCTGGTCTTAAAAGTATCAGATTGAACTTGAAATACAAGATTCCGGAAGCTCTAAAATGTACTACATTTGTTTCCAGATCTGTGTGAGTCATCTTGCAAAGCACAGAGGAAAATTAATTCTTCAACTCAACCTGGCACTTGATAAGCAGCAGTCTAGAGGGGGGGCAGCAGTTCCCATTATCTGTTAGATGTGTGTGTTCATGCTACCTCAGTGGAACTGAGAAATAATTAGAATTAATCCTATATCGCTCTGAAGGGCATCCTCAGTGCTAGAACTCCTCTCGTGAGGATAGTTCTCAGGTCTGACCTAGCCTGACCCCACCCCACTCTTAGTGAGGTGGTGCTGAGGGAATCATGGGAAGGTGTAAACCATGGATACTCCCTCTCTCCAGGACGGACTCATCAAAGAGCCCTCTCAGGTGATAGAACAGTAGACATGATGCTTCAGTGCTGAAACTGTTAAACTCAAAACCCTTACTGTTGATAACAGAGGATTTTCAAAAGTGGACTCCTTCTCTTTTATAGATCCAAGAAGAACTTCTTAATGAAGGATTTCTAAAGAAATCTGAGGAGTTGCATGCAGAGATACAGCTACTAAAAAAAGAGATTGCCATGAATAATGAAGATAAATATTCATTGGGCCCATGGATCTTTGATGTGATTGATAAAGTGTTAGGGGAAGAAATGCCAGATCCTAGTGAGTTACCTGGTGTGGGGATGAAGATTCTGGGCTCATAATGACATAGGTCCAGAATTCCTTTTAGTGATTAAGAAAATGAGGGGGTTTTGTGATGCTGGGACATACTTTGGAAGCCTGTGTCATATTAGTTTCTTCTAACAAAAGTTTAAAGATAAACCATGATTACCAATTACTAAGGTGTGACATACAAAAGTCAGACTTAATTTTGATCAAATTAAAGAAATAGTAAACAAGATTGTAAAAGAGAAGTATAAGAAAAGGCCAGATTTGCAGTTGCAGCAAAACAAATAAAATACTGCAAAATAAAATCATCAGACCTGATTGTTGCTTTCTTCTCTCTAAGATGTTTGTGGAACAGCTGAGCAGGCTAAGAAGGAGGCATCTGAGAAGGAAATGGACCTGCCAGGCCAGAAATACAAGCAGCAACAGCAAAAACTGGAGGCTCAAGAGAGAAGCTTCAAAGAAAACATAGCCCAACTGAGAGATTAGTTGGAGAGGGAAAGAGAAAACTTTCAGGGGGAGCAGGAAAAAATGTTGAATCACAAGCTAAAGGTAAGTCTGTGATTCCTCAGAAAGAGGAGGGCCAAAACTAATGAAAATCATGATCCCAAGGAGAATCATAACGACATGATTCATTGAAACCTCAGATCCCTCTGGACTCTGCTGAGGTCCTTAAATCCACAAGACTCTAGCACTTTCTGTAGTGTTAGTCTCTGAAGTGAACAGATGGCACCCCCAGATTGCTAGGCTGCTGTTTGTAGTGAGAATAGTATGTTTTTATAATGCCTGGAGTGAGTAGGACGTTAGTCCTATAGTCCTTAGGGTATTAGTAAAACCATCAGATAGATCTAAAATGGAGGGGCACCTGGGTGGCTCAGTTGGTTAGGCGACTGCCTTCGGCTCAGGTCATGATCCCAGGGTCCTGGGATCGAGTCCCACATCAGGCTTCCGGCTTGGCGGGGAGCCTGCTTCTCCCTCTGACCCTCTCCTCTCTCATGCTGTTTCTCTCTCGCTCGCTCTCCAATAAATAAATAAATAAAATCTTTAAAAAAAAATAAAATGGATCCACTGGGTCATGAAAGTATCAGATTATGCCTGATATGAAATACAGAATCCAGAAAGCCCTATAATTTGCTGCATTTGTTTCCAGATCTGTGTGAGTTACTCTGTAAAGTGTAAGGGAACGGTCTTCCTTATTCCAACATGCAGCTTGATAGCCTGTTTTCTACACATTGTTAGCAATTCCCATTTTTTTGTAGATGGGTGTGACCATGCTGCCTCAAGTAGAACTGAGAATTAGTTAGAATCAAACCTACATTCTCTCCCAAAAGGCATCATTAGAACTGGAACACATTTCTGTCCCAGCACAGAGGCCACCACACAAACACCAGGTGTTCAAAAAATGTTAGAATAAATATGGGAGCTGCCATCCTTTAGGGATCGAGCCCCACATCAGGTTCCCTCCTCCACAAGGAGCCTGCTTCTCCCTCTCCCTTTGCCTCTCCCCCTGCTTGTGCTCTTTCTCACTATCTCTGTCACTATCTGTCTCTCTCTATCAAATAAATAAAATCTTAAAAAAAAGAAGTATGTGTATGTGACTCAAAGTCTGGGCCATAAAATTATGCTCCTGTGCTCCACCAGTACATCTTTTCCCTCCTACTAGATCAGATTTGGCAGCAGTTGAGCTTTGACCTTGGAGATAAATAGGCTTTCTTAGTGGATACAAAACAAGATGGAAGGAACCTGACTCCCTGAACAACACTGTGGAACAATGCTTCCACACATGCCTGGAGCGGTAGAACAGTAGTAATATGTCTTCTAAGCTGTAGCAGCAACCTTTGAAGTGATCTCTATCTCCAGTGTCCTCACTTTACTCTTCTTCCTTCTGCCATCAGAATGTGGAACTCAATACTACTCTGAACATACCTAATAACCTTCAAAGCCTGTATCTGCCTTTGGAATAAATTCCGTGACTCAGGTCCCAACTGATCTATCAACCTCATCTTTAACGAGCCTACAGATATAGTGAACTCCAGCTGATTCCTAGCGTTTGCTTACTACCATTATATATTTGCTCATTCCCTTCTTTCAGTCTAAAATACATTTCCTCCAATTTCTCTTTGCTGCAATCTGAGTCATCCTTCAAGATCCAGCAGTAATGGCACCTCTTCTCTGAAGCCATCTAAAATCCTTCTGAATATGATTAATTGTTGCTTTTGTAGCCAACCAAATACTTTATTTTTTTAAGATTTTATTTATTTATTTATTTATTTGAGAAAGAGAGTGATTGAGAGAGAGAGAGAGAGCACGAGCAGGGGGAGGGGGAGAGGGAGAGGGAGAAGCAGACACCCCGCTGAACAGGGAGCCCAACACAGGGCTCTATCCCAGGACCCTGGAATCATGACCTGAGCTCAAGGCAGATGCTTAACCATCTGAGCCACCCAGCAGCCCCTCACACACTTTATTTTTAACATTATTTTATCAGTAATCACTTCTTATTTAATGGTAAAATATTTGTCCTTTTCACGATGCAGGTTAGCCAAGAATGAGAACTTTTCTTTGTTTTTAAATATACAAAAGCAGTGGAAATGCTAGTTTTGAAGGACGGGGAGGTTTATAATAATAACAAATAGACAAAACATAAAGTAATAGCTTTTTGTCAGCAGGCTTTGGTTAGGCTAATAACAAAATCTCAAATTTGAAAATTCCTTACCTTTAAATGAACTATTCTCAAAAGGTTTGATGACATGTATAAATGATACTTTCAAAAGTGGAGATTAACAAAAATTTACTTGCATAGATATTCACTATTGAACCAGATATCACAGACAATGAAGGGAAGCCAAACTAGCTAACTATTATTTTAATTTTGCAGATTGGATCTTTGGGTCAAGGGCAAAGATGCTCTTTCCAACTAGCCTCACTGCCAGACATCAAATCTTTTCCTGGAGTAATAGGGTCAGGGCAAGCCGAGGAATGGCCAAGAAACTAGGATGGTACATACCGGTAGTGCCTATAGTCACCATCAAATATGTATCATGAGACAAATTATACTCAATTCAGGGTGGAATGGAGGAAAAGTTACAGTCAGCTGATACTGTGCTGAGGGAAATGAACAGAGGGACATCAGGACCTCTCGGAGAGTGGCATTTGTGATCCTTTTGTCTTTTCCACATTCACAAATATTTAATGCTAGCATCCAGAACCCAGGTCATAGAGGAAGCCTCCATCCTTCTGATATCAATCATACAAATACAAAAACCTCTTAAATTTTAATTTCTGTCCTTCTCCCCAAGCTCAAAAATACTAACTGCTGAACTAAGGGCAGCTATTCTTTTAAATTTGTACATAACAGTTTCTTCTTATTTCTTTTTTTTAAAATAGATTTCCCCAATCCCAACAATATCAGAGTATTTGTTTTGTTGTGTTTAATTCTCTCTCACAGTGGCTAGTGCCTCTTGCTCTTGTTCAAGAATATTGTAAAGCTATAAATCTTGACTCCAAAATCATTTATTCCTTTATTCCCAGATTTTTATTAGCTGAAGAATTGCATCAAATAGATTGATGACCTGAAACTGCTTAAGGTCTGCATTTTCAGGAACCCCATGTGGATCAGGATATCATCAGTTTGGGGCTCCTTCTTCTTATGTTTCAGGGTGCTAAATGGGACTCTTACTATGAGGGGTCCACTAAGGACCCTGGACTGAGAATACTAGATGCCAAATAACAACTAATTCCAAAGCAAGGTGCCACACCAACTTTTACAGAGTTAGGTTAAACTCAAGTCAGTAAACTAAAGGAGAAATATCATATGATTATATCAATTAATGAAGAAAAGGCATTTCACAAAATCTAACACTCATGATAAAACTTCCCACAAATGAGAAAGAGTACTTTGTCAAATTGATAAATAGCTGCAAAAAACCTGCAGCTAACATCATACTTAATGGTGAAAAACTAGATGCTGTCCCACTAAGATCAGGAACAAGGCAATGATGTCTGCTCTCACCACTTCTATACAACATCATACTAGAAGTTCTAATAAATAAGACAAGAAAAAGAAATGAAAGATATATAGATTGGGAAGGAAGAAATAAAGCTATCTTCCTTTGCAGATGACATGATTATCTATGTAGAAAATCTCAAAAGAATCAACAACAACAAAAAACTCCTGGCACTAATAAATGATTATAGCAAGATTACAGGATACAAGGTTTACCTACAAAAATCAATTGCTTGCTTATATATCAGCAGTGAACACTTTGAATTTGAAATTAATACAATACCATTTATATTAGCACCCCTGAAAATTAAATACTTAGGTTATAAATCTGAAAAAAAAAATATGTACAAGATCTTTATAAAGAAAATAACAACTCTGATGAAAGAAAACAAAGACAATCTAAATAAATGGGGAAATAGTCCATGTGATGAATGGGAACACTCAATATTGTCAAGCTGTCACTTCTAGAGGTTAGTATAACCACAGTAAAAATCCCAGCAAGTTATTTTGTGGATATTGACAAATTGATTCTAAAGTTCATATGGAGAGGCAAAAGACCCAGAATAAACAACAAATATTGAAGTAGAAGAAAAAAGAAACTGAAACTACCCAACTTTAAGACTTGCTATAAAGTCTTTAAGACTTGCTATAAAGTTACAGTAATCAAGACTGTGTGGTCTTGACAAAGGAGCAAAAGCAAGTCAGTGGATAAAGGATAATCTTTTCAAAAAATGATGCTGAAACAACTGGACATTCATAAACCAAAAAGAAAAAGAAGATAGTTAGACACATCTTACAATTTTCACAAAAATAAACTCAAAATGGATTATAGACCCAAATGTAAAACATAAAACTATACAATTCCTAGAAGATAACATAAGGGAAAACCTTAGATTTGGTGACGACTTTTTAGATACACCACCAAAAATCACAATCCATAATAAAAAACTGATAAGTTGGACTTCATTAAAACTTAAAACTTCTGATCTTCAAA